TACTATCTCATTAGGAAGCCATAAAACATTTTGCTGGCCTATCAAGTTCATTATTATGAATTACTTAATATTCAGCTTTTGAGTACTCAGGTAAACAGGAGAAAGGAGGCTTATGTTACACTGTTTCTACATGTCTTATTTAGATGATCAAAAATACATATATGGAAAACACATGAGTATATAGAATTGAATCACATTCAAATGAAATATTACACATATCAAATTGAAGTGGAAAAAAAAGGTGCAAAATAATGTATATATTGTGTAGCTATTTAAACAAAAAAGAGGAAAAAAAATAATGTATTTGTGTTTCATTCTGTATTTATTTGAAAAATCTTTGGGAAAAATCAGAAGAAACTCTTCATAGTGGTTTGTGAGGAGACTTTTCAGTGTGTTCATTTTTTTATTTAAGTGTGTTGGAATTTCAGTATCATGGCAATTTTTAGCAGCTTCATTGAGGTATAATTGACATACAATAAATTATATATTCATAGTGTGTTTACATTTTTTACTTTAAATTTTTAAAATACTTTGTTTCTGGTAAAGTGTACACAGCAAATTAGGTTCCCATTTAACAATTTTTGTACGTTTTGTTCAAGGATATTGGTTACATTTTTCACAATGTGTCAGCATTCTCATTATTTCCATTCTAGTTGTTCTGTTTCCATTAATCTAGTTTCCCTGCCCTCCCATTATCTTCTCATCTTTTAATTTTTTTGAACCATGTGAATATATTACCTATTAAAAGTTAAACTAATAAAAACTTAAAAAATTGGCTAATACATAAATAGCAAAGTTCGTTTTGCTCAGGTCTTTAAACCAGTTCACAATAGTTCAGTCATAGCTGACAGTAACAAGGGCAGCATATCCATTACATAGCAACCAAATCTGTTGATCTGAATTGGAAACAGGCAGCGATGCCATGCTCAAAGATGATGTGTGGCTACACCATGACACACATTCAAAGCAGCATAGTCAGCTGCCATCTTTGAGCAAGACACCTCTGCCTGTTTCCTATTCATCAAAATCCAATGTTCAAGAGATCTCTGGTTGCCATGCCCGTTGGCCATGACTGAACCTTTTCAAACCAGTTTGAAGCTCTGGTTTTGCTATAGGTGCTTGGGCCTCTGTGGTTCAATCTAAGAGTTTTTATTCATTTTGACCTTTTGCAGAAATTTTGAGTAAGGTTAGCTCTAGTTTTGCTAACAAAATATTTTTATTATCTTTCTATTTGATGACAGTGAGTTAGGTTTTGGTATCACCTTTTAATGCTGTTTAATGCCAGTATTTTGAAAATAAACTATTACAGACATATTTTTAATCTCAGGGATATAGAGATCCTTGATCTCTGACAGTCTTGAGAACAACAAATGAACAATGATTGTAGTGAACATTTTAAAATTAGAATTGTAGTCCAGGATGGTGATTTACAAAAATCTCCAGTTGTAAATGATGAGGTTTATAGTCATGATAACCCCACTTTCCATACCCCCTTGTCTGGGCTCTGCCTCTCGCATAAGCTATTTGGTACTACAAAAACCAGACCCTGGGCATAAAGGTGGAATAGGAGGACTCCAGCTGGCCACCTTACAACACTGAACAAGGCTGTAACTGTATCCACATTTCACTCTCACCTCTTTGCTTCTGTTATATCCTCATTTTAGAGTCACTTTGATTAGACTTTTTCTTGGTCAGGGAAAGGTTTTTTTTGGTGTGTATATCTGAAGTATTGCCTCTCTGGTTTTCTGGGTAAGAATGATCATTTTCTGCTCTGTGGAGCCATTTACTATAGCCTGTCTTTGGTTTTGGTCATTTGAGCTTATTCTCATAAGCCCAAATCGCTTTGGCTGAAGCGAAGCAAAGATGAGAACGTGTCAGCTTTTGCATGTGTGCTGTCTTCTCCCTCCCTTTGTCCCTTGATCTGCTAACCCAGATAACTACTTTGTTCTATCCTGATTTTATCATTGAGAAGAGCCAATCAGACCCAGAGACTCAGTGCTATTGTTGGAATCAACTCACTCTTACTCTCAAATGTCCACTTTTTGTGCTACCTGAGCACCTTCATGGATAAGTCACATCATTCTTTCCCAATCCAGTCCCATTATGGGAACAGGTACTCAGGGAAAACAAGGTAACACGGTAGTAAGAGTCCTGGTTTGAGAGTCAGACAATCTGAGTTCAGGACCTTACATTGCAGTAAACTGTGCCACTGAGCGGTCAGGACTTGATTCAGTGCTACATCCTTGATAGGTGCTTTGCAAAGGTTTAGTTGAATGACTAGGGCACATTTTCTGCTCTGGTTTCTTCAATTGAAAATAGAGATGGTTTTTGTACTTCATTGCTATAAGGCAGTAAAAGGCATTAATGTAGTGAAACTTCTCAGTTTGTTGGAAGACAAGAAATGGATAAATAATGTATTAAATGGAGCTATTTAGTAATTTGTAAAATGTAGGGAGGTGGATGAGAGGATTTCTCAGCCACTTTCTAGCTCTAAAGCGTGCCTGGCTCTGTGAGAAAGAACACAGCTTGGTTGTGCTTAAACTATAAACCAATGCCATGGAGTTGATTCTGACTCACACTGAACCCATGTGTGTCATAATAAAACTATGCTCCTCAGGTTTTCAATGGCTGAGTTTTTGAAATAGTTTGCCAGGCCTTTCTTCTGAGGCACCTCTGGTGGTGGATTCAAGCCTCCAACATTTTGGTTAGCATCCGGGCTATACCAAAAACCAAAGCAAACTCACTGCCATTGAGTCAGACCCGACTCATAGTGACCCTTCCTTGGGTTTCTGAGGCGGTATCACTGTGGAAGTAGATTGCCCAACTTTCCTTCCGAGGAGTGGCTTGTGGGTTTGAACCACCAGCCTTCTGATTAGCAATCAAATGCCTTAGGCACTACGCTACCAGAGCTCCCAGCTGGACTATAGGAGAATGGAATTGCTTCTATATTTATTTGCTGGGTGATATAGATTCCACATGCAAACCAGCTCTGCTCACCATCCGCATCTTTAGAGAATTTTTCCTGCTTTCTCTATGTAATCTTTAATGGATTTTTTTTACTTAATAACACTTTAGGTCATTTAGATTAATTTTGTCCTCACAACAAACTTCATGAGGAGACAAGGCCAATATCATATCCACATTTTATAGATGAGGAAACTGGTTCAGTTTATATGATTTGTCAAAGTCACGTAACAAGTAAATGGCAGGGTCACTTTCTGTATCTTGCTCCCTCTTTCTTCTCTTTGCTTCGGTTTCTCACTTATAAGCATAAAATTAGGAAGCTGGACCCAGTGATTTTTGAGAGTCCTACTATCTTGATCTGAAAGCAGTCAAATTTTAGAATCTTAAGTCATTTTGGTGACAAGAAGGATTTTACTTACTGCAATAGTGTAAAGCCCTATGGGGGTAAGAAATAGAATAGAAAGTAGAAAACCTCTGCCATCAAATTGCTTACCCTCTGTAAGGTGAATGCTGATAGTGGGTGTTGGCTGTGTGTAGTAGAGTGTTTCATATAGGCAGAGATGGATCAGGGATGTTAAAAATCTGAGAATATGGAATATCAGGGTGAGATCCAAACTGCGGGTATGAAGCTCCTACTTGTTGTTATTATGTCCCGTTGAGTCGGACCCAACTCATAGCGATCCCTCCTTGGGTTTCAGAGGCGATATCACTACAGAAGTAGATTGCCCAAACTTCTTCCGCGGAGTGGTGAGTGGGTTTGAACCGCCAGCCTTCTGGTTAGCAGTCAAGTGTCTTAGGCACTACACCACCAGAGCTCCCACTAGGGATAATTAATTAGGAAATGGTCATCACAAGAATTCTGCAAGAGCAGGGAAGCACTGGGTCCACATTCAGGTGCCTGTAGGTCTGGGTCTCTGGGTGGTGCGAATGGTTAATGTACTCATCTGCTAACTAAAAGTTGGTGATTTGAGCCCACCCAGGAGTACTTCAAAAGAAAGGCCTGGCAATCTGCTTCCAGACATGCAGCCATTGGAAGCCCTGCAGAGTGCAGTTCTACTCTGACATAAGTGATGTCATTATGAGTTGGAGTCGTGTGTGTTTTTATGTCTGAGTTGCTTGCCTGGAGTTCCAGGTTACGTGAGCTTTTCTAAGACGGAGTGATTCTCTTAAGAATGAGTCATGAGAAGGTGAGGGGTAAGCAAGGATCAGAGCTGTAGACTGTTTTGGTGGAGCTAAGTGCAGCAGGAGCCCCCAGAAATTGGCTTGGAGTTGCTGTCAGTCATTTCTGCCCCTTTTCTTCCTGAAAAAGAGATGACATTTATAGAACCTCCTGTTTTCTTGCATCTTCTCTCTTAGTTGTTACGTGCTGTCAAGTTGGACCCGACTCATAGTGACCCCTACTTGGGTTTCCGAGGCAGTATCACTACAGAAGTAGATTGCCCCATCTTCCTTCTGAAGAGTGGCTGGTGGGTTTGAACTGCCAGCCTTCTGGTTAGCAGTCAAGTTCCTTAGCCACTATGCTACCAGAGCAGATGTTTGCGCCATGGTCCATGTGCATATGCATACTCACTGGTCACAGCACTTCTCCAGCCATCAGAGAGGATTTCTATCCTTTTAATACAGATTGTTTACCTAGTCAGCAGCTGTTGTGTATGCTGTTTACAAGAAATAAGCAAGTAAGATGGAGGACAACCTTTGGAATAATAATACTTCAAGCAGCTTTTGATAGCCCTTTTAAATTTTAATCTGCATGTCAATTAATGCTGGGCCCAGGTGATTGTAATTCATGAGTGTGCCTTGTTCTGTTGCCTTTGAGGTTTTACATTTTGAGGTAAAATTTGAATTATAGCTAACACATTTTTCTGAGGTCATACCTATTTGTCCATTTGGTTTGTTTGTTCAAATGAAAGAGTGCCTCAAGTATGGAATTAGATTAATGGAGTAAATATTATGAATTATACACGCTCTCTAATCTGATGCTTTTTCTTCTTTTTTTGACCTCATGTTTTGTTTTCTGTCTTTCTCTCTTTGTGTAGGCTTTCAGTCCAGCATGAAGCTGTTGGAGCGAGGGAGCAAAGGTAAAGAATGATGTAATGCAGTGGCTGCCCCAAAGCATCTTTTGTTGTGGAATGGTTATTCCAGTCATCTCTTTATGAATCAAATGTGAGGGGCTGCTTTGTGGAAGGAGTCCTTTGCAAGAGCACATCAACAGGAAAGAGAAAGAGACATTCACTTGGAGGGCTGTTGCTGAAAATGGGTTTAACTCTCCTTTTGCCAGTCACTACCAGCCTGACCTCATACATTTTTAGTACAATGGAGTGGCTGAGCCTTTGAGCACACCACCGTTACATCATCGTGGCAAATTAAAGAAGGAGGTGGGAAAAGAGGACTTATTGTTGTCATGGCCCATGAGATGACTGGAACTCAAATTGTTACTGAGAGGTTGGTGGCTCTGCTGGAAAGTGGAACGGAAAAAGTGCTGCTAATTGATAGCCGGCCTTTTGTGGAATACAATACATCCCACATTTTGGAAGCCATTAATATCAACTGCTCCAAGCTTATGAAGCGAAGGTTGCAGCAGGACAAAGTGTTAATTACAGAACTCATCCAGCATTCAGCAAAACATAAGGTAAATGCTTGCTTTCTTTTTAAAATAGGCACACTGAATGGGAAATAATTTTAAATGAACCTAATTTTTGATGGTAGAAAGTAATTCGAGGACATGTCAGTTGCTTTTTAAATTTTGGTACCTTACAGTACCTCAGAATAATATTTCTAAACTATACAAAAAGGTTAACTTGCTTTAATTTAGCTAAGTACTGTGTTTTTCTATTAATAGCTTGCTAAAATTGTTTTAATTTAAACATTTATTTTGTGTTATCTATAAGTTTTACTGAAAGGAACATAGTTCTTTTCAAATGCATTAGAAAGCAAGTAGGAACTAATTATATTATTTTAGAGGTGCTTTTTATGTATGGGAAGGTGAGGTACCATTGATCAAGAGTAAGGATATTATCTTCATGGAAAGTTATTCCTACAATACCAAAATGCCATCTCTGTGACAGATAAGGCTTTTTGTTTGCATAAAAATGAAATAAAAATAAAAATGTTTTAATTTTATTTAAAAAAAAAAAACTGATTTCATTCTTAATATAGAACACGTTTAAAAAAATGTTTTAGTTCACTATGTTTATCTTGTACATTATTTTGTTTTATGAGCTCTACCATCTTATAAGGGTTTAAAACCAAGGAGTTTGAACTACATCCACAGAGAAATACCATCAGTCTTGTCTTTTAAAAGTTGATTTTTACAAGCATCTAAACAATTTGTGTGCTAGGTTTATTTAGTAAGTTGACCTCATCTCATTCTTACCCAAATTTTTAACTGACAACAGGAAGCAGTTTCTGCTTCAACATCAGTAAATGAGTGATTTGACTCAACCAGTAGTTTAAGGGGTTATTTTTCTCACCTTCCTTTCTTCCTAACAGCCTCATGTTTGCATTTCAGATCGATATTGATTGCAGCCAGAAGGTTGTAGTTTACGATCAAAGCTCCCAAGATGTTGCCTCTCTATCTTCAGATTGTTTTCTCACTGTACTTCTGGGTAAACTGGAGAAGAGCTTCAACTCTGTTCACCTGCTTGCAGGTAAGGTTTGTGGTAGAATTCAGAGGATTCCAAATCTCTCTGAGCTGTGTGATGTGTTAGTAAGGAGTGGGGCACAGTGAGTTCCAAGTGTAATAGATCATCTGTAATCTGTGTTTATTGTGTAAAATGACTTACTCTGTAGCTTTTGATTGATGTAAGTGTTCTATTTAACTTGAGTACTGCCATTCTCCCACTTTCTTCATTGTATTTCTGACTGAGCTCAAATGTCTGTTCACTTGGTTACCATATTTATTAGCTAGAAGTGCCACAGTCGCTATGTAGATATAGATAGCTGAAGACTTTTGACTGGGGTCTTTTCCAATCACCTGTGATCTTAGAACATTAATAAATGCCTTACATTTCATTTCCTGCTGTTGGTTCCCCCTCGCTGTAGCAAGAACCAGACTAGTGTCAAAACTCTTATCAAACATTTATAATTAAAGTAGACTCCAGAGGTAAGGTCATCATTCTTGGACATTATAAGCTATAAAATAGAGAATGTGTAGAATGTTTCTCCTAAATAATTAAGGGAACTATTTAAAAACTTACATATTTTTATGATGAAAAAATGAACTTTTCAACTTGCAGATGTTAAGCAACTAAACGATTTTATAAAGTGCATGAGAAAGACTAAATAGCTCTGGTAGCGTAGTGCCTAAGGCACTTGACTGCTAACCAGAAGACTGGAGGTTCAAACCCACCAGCCACTCCTCGGAAGGAAGGTTGGGCAGTCTATTTCCATAGAGATACTGCCTCAGAAACCCAGGGAGGGGTTGCTATGAGTCGGGGCTGACTGCCACATAACAACAAGAACACCCTGCAGGGTGTGGGGGAGCATGGTGAGAATTCAAGAGCAGCATTTTCACCCTTTGCTTCTGTCTGTTTTGCATGGATTACTAAAGCTCTTTCACTGGCACTGGTTAGCAGAGCAGAGGAATACAGTTTGACAATGCACAGTAACTTTTTTTTTTTACCCCCTCTGGCTGTGGTTTTTATTTTTTTAATTGTGATTTGGGTGAAAGTTTACAGAGCAAATTCATTTTTCAGGTAGCAGTTCATACACATTTTGTTTGTTTCATGACATTGACTGCAGTTCCCCACAATGTAACAGCTCTCTTCCCACTTCCTCCCTGTAGTTACCCTTCCCCTGTGTCCTTCTTTACTATGGATTCCTGCCCTCTGAGCTATCTCCCTGTGCAAGTACTGCCCCTCGGATCTCCCATGGTTGATTGTTCTAAGGAGTGTATCTACCAGGTGTCAATGTTCACCTTATATGCCTGTTGTTTGGCTGGAAGCCATGGGAGTGAGTTCAATTCCAGGCCCGAAGGGTGACTTGGGGCCTGGGGCCATAGTCTCAGGAGTTTGACCAGTCTCTCAGACCAGTAAACCTGGTCTTTTTTATGAGTTTGAGTTCTATTCCACATTTTTCTCGCACTTTATCCAGGAACACCTATTTTGATCCCTTTCTGAGTGGTTGACAGTGGTAGCTAGGCACCGTCTAGTTCTACTGGTCTCAGGGCCATGTAGGCTAAGTTTCACATGGTCCACTAGTCCCTTGGACTAATTGTTTCCATGAGTCTTTGGTTTTCTTCATTCTTCTTTGCTCTGGATGAGGAGAAACCAATTATTGTATCTTAGATAGCCACTTGCAAGCTTTTAAGACCCCAGTTGCTACTCACCTAAGTAGGATGTAGAACAATGTTTTTGTGTAGTATGTTATGCCAGTTGAGCTTGATGTCCCCCATGACCATGATCCTGAGCCCATGGGCCCAGTGACTCATTCCCTCAGCGTGCTTGGCTGTGGCAATGCACAGTAACTTTTAATACAAAGCTACTCTGTGAGATAGATTATGCTGGAGTGCTGGGCAGGAGTGCTTTTCAGAATGCAGTCATAAGGAAAACAAAATATTGATTTGTTGTTGTTATGTGCTGTCAAGTCAGACCCAACTCATAGCGACCCCTGCTTGGGTTTCTGAGGCAGTATCACTATGGAAGTAGATTCCCAACCTTCCAAGGAGTGGCTGGTGGATTTGAACCATCAGCCGTCTGGTTAGCAGTCAAGTGCCTTAGGCACTACGCTACCAGAGCTCCCAAACTATTGATAGATGTCATTTTCACCTCTACAGTAATTTCTTTCAAAGATGGTGCAGTGGACAAGATGTAATTGGCAGTTGGTTGTAAGAAGTCTGTGCATTTCGTGTTTAAGAGATTAGAATTAGTAATGTGTTTGTAGGTTAACATCTTAAATTCTGTGCAAGCTTAGATAATATCTCTGTGTCTCCTGTTATCTCTCACCACCTTTTGTTTCAGTTCCCTAAGCAGGTCAGTAGTCTCCAATCTCTTTCACATCATTGATAGCCATATACTGTGTTTCTATTTGATTTCTCCATCAGTATCCTTAAGAAATCACTGTTCGTCTTGGTATTTAGTTTTCAGAATTCTGTGACTGAGAATTATATTAGATTCTATCTCTGCTGATACTTAGTTATGAAGGCACATTCTTTTACTGAGAGTGTAACTGCACTAAATACAATAACCATTATTAGAGCTTCATTAACCTAATTGGATGAATTTAGGAGCTTATATCATGCTTCTTATAACCACCGTGAGTGACTTACCTTAGAATCCTATTAATGAGATCAGCGTTCTCCTTAAACAAAGTACACTAAAATGTGCTTGATGACGAAGTGGTTATTCCACCCTGCTCTTACTTGAGACACCTTTTCTCTGTGGGGACTCTGACTTGACAGCTTAGGCAAGCCAACGTCCTCTTGGAGGATTGAACTCATTTCAAGTTTCTAGCAGATTTGTTTAAGCTACCTGTATACTCCCTTTAAAGGAGCTCTGATGGTATAATGGTTAAGGCATTTGACTGATAACCAGAAAATAGGTGGTTTGAACTTACCAGCTGCTCCGCAGAAGAAAGATTGGGCAATATGCTTCCATAAAGATTTACAGCCTTGGAAACCCAGTGGGTGTTGTTATGAGTTGAAACTGACTTGATGGCAGTGAGTTTGGTTTTTTGGTTATATTTCCTTTAAGGAACCCTGGTGGTTCAGTGGTTTAGCGCGTGGCTGCTAACCAAAACATTAGTGGTTTGAACCCAGCAGTGGCTCCACAGGAGAAAAAACCTGGTTACCTACTCCCATAAAATTTATAGCCTAGGAAGCTCTATGGGACAGTTCTACTGTGTCCATATAGGGTCACTATGAGTTGGAATCAACTCAACAGCAAACAGCAACAACATACCCTCTTTGTAAGAGAACACTCCTTTGTTACCTGGGAAAGTTCCTATCAATCATAAGTAGCTTTGGGAAGCGGGTACTCATTGCCACCCCCCCATCCCCCATTGCCATCAAGTGGATTTCTACTCATAGCATCTCATAGGACAGATTAGAACTGCCTCATAGGGTTTCTAAGGTTCTAAATCTTTATGGAAGCAGACTTCTTCCTCTTTCTCTCACAAAGTGGCTGGTGGGTTTGAACAACCAACCTTTTGGTCAGTGCTTTAACCAGTGCACTACCAGAGTTCCTTACTCATTGGACAATAAAGATGAAAAGGACTCAAACTTAATCTGATCAGCTGAATCAGCCCCTTGGTATGCATGGTATATAGCACACTGAGTCAGAATACCCTGACCTCCACACTCAGAGGAGGTGTTTCCTGGGCTTTAAATGAAAGTCCACTGAAGTAGCACCAAACACCTCATTAAATGTATAGATGGCACCATGTGCCCAACCATGTTGTCAGAACCCTGTATTTCGTTTAGCTTAGGTGATGGCTTCAGGGTCTGGATTGACTTGTTGGGGAGTTTCTCAGTGGCCAGATCTGAGATCTGAGACAGTTCTATCTGGCTGATAACCTCTCCCACCATCTGAAAGCCTCTGACCAGTTGGGAAGTCTGTTGGTCATTGAGTCTGTTCCTCAGAGTAGACAGAAAATTGGAGTAAGTGCTGGGGAAGGTAAGTTCTTGGTAGTTTGCTTCTTTGCCAGGGTCCACCTGCTCAGAGAACATACTGGGGAGGTGGGATAGAAGGACAATCTATCTTGACAAATGTTTCTTAAATATTTTGCTTGTGGGGAAATAACTGACTGTGGAAAAGCATACTAGCTTCTCACAGATGCTACAGAAAATTACGGGATTGTTGGAGACTATTTTCACAATAGATTTCCTCTATTGCATTCAGAAGGAGCTCTGGTGGCATAGTGCCTAAGGCATTTGGCTGCTAACCAGAAGGCTGGCGGTTCAAACCCACCAGCCGTTCTTCGGAAGGAAGATTGGGCAGTCTACTTCTGTAGAGATACCGCCTCAGAAACCCAATGAGGTGTTGCTATGAGTCAGATTGGACTCTGTGGCAGTGAGTTTGGTTTGGTTTGATTTGAGGTACAGAAGTGAGGAACTGTGGCCCAAATTCTACTTGTATTCTCCCTGAGGAGAATAACGTTGAAGAAGGGAAACTTCCCAGGAAGCTGACAAACCAAAAAAAACCCAAACTCATTCCTGTGGAGTTGGATCCGACTCATAGCAACCCCTCCTTGGGTTTCTGAGGCTTTATCACTACAGAAATAGATTGCCCAGTCTTCTTTTCAAGGAGCGGCTGGTGGGTTTGAACCGCCAGCCTTCTGGTTAGCAGTCAAATGCCTTAGGCACGTGACAGCAGCCTCTTAATAAGCTCTTTCCTTATCACCAGAGAGAGCCAAGCTTATGTGGAGGACCAAGTTACAAGCACAGAAAATGAAGAATTATTCAAGGAAAGGGATGGGATTTGAAGATGCTATAGTGAAATGCAGTAGGTTTCTTTCTTTAATATGGAACAGGTCCTGCTTAGGCATGGGGCTAACCCAGTAAACTTCAGCTTCTACCAAATGAAAAGGGTTCTTTCTCTTTACATTGACCTCCAGTGATCAGTGAGACATGATTCCCAGCCTTTTAATCCTGAAATTAAGGACTTAATCTTATAATGAATTTTTCCTGTGCTATCCATATCTGTGGACTGAC